ATATATAAATTAGTTATTGCCAGCATGGATTTGTCACAATCACGAAATTGATTGGAAGAACACGAATGTGTTAGGTCAGTTAGACAGAAAGAGGTTTCTAAGGAAAAGATTATAAATTTCTGAAATAATACAAAGTTATAAAACAATGCAATTAATTTACAGACGGACATAGAATTTTTTCACTATAGATATGTTTCGATCTTCAATCAGTTCTAACAATCATATGTTTTTAAAAAACATACAGTTATTATAATATATTTTCATGTAAGAGTTTCACAGCTTATTTATATTGTTTTTAAAGTTATCTTGTTCAAAACATTAGTCAAGCTTAATATTAGATTTATTATATATCATACTGTATTTATTGTATTTTAACATCCACCTGTTTTGTATAAATTATGAAAAATAATTAATTAAACAATTACATTTAACAACTGTAATTGTATGTAATAGCTCTCATTTGTCCGTTTCATATACATTTATAAATATAATTTTATGACATTTTTATTTCAAATATTTATAAAAACTAAATGCCTGAAAGTGCTCGTTTACTTATAAATATCTCTTCATATTTTTTATAATAACGGAGTATTAATAATTTTTTATAAATATGGAGTATTAATTTGCTTACACACACACACACACACACACACACACACACACACACGCGCGCGCGCACGCACACAAAAGTTTACATTATTATCATTTCTATAATTTCTATCATTTAATATCATCCATTTAAATTCAATTATAATCTTAAAATGTATGGAAGATATGGAATGTCGAGCTGCTGCATAAGAAAAATATACTACTTTCGATGTGTATATTTCGATGAATATAATATACATTAATTTCAATTTATTGTATATCATTGTGCCATTACAGTACTTGTTGCTGATTGACAATGTCCACGTATTGGGTCCTTTTTTTAATTTAAGAAAATGCAACAGAATTAGAGAATTAATTAGAGTATTATATAAACAGAGCGATTATATAAAGGTAAGTTATGTAAAAACATATTTTGTTTACTTTATAAAAAAATTCTGTTATACATACATACTAACGTTCTATTATAATTATATTTCTGATTATATTAAATCTCAATTTACAACAATTACAGAGTTTCATATAAATCATGTAACTAATAATGGCATGACATATTAGGTGTGGGAAAAAGTTCGTGGCGAACTTTTTTTAATGCCACCTAACGGGAAAAACGTCACGAATTTTTTCCCACACCTAATATAATATCTCCCTAGTGATTAACAAAAAACAAAAATAGCAATCTTTTTGTGAATCAAACTACATGATTCTTGTTATCATTTTTATTTTTTATCAAAGCTATATTTTGCAGATAATAGTTCGCAAAAGATCTGCTTTCTCACTTATTAATAATGCAGCTGGTCACGATCGCATCATTTCTTATATTATTCTGTGGCTTTTTTGATATGATAATGGTCACGACTGTCACAAGCAATGACCAAGATACGGTAAACATACTATATTTTACTTCTAAAATAAATATTAAAATCTTTACTTTTTAAATTTATTTAATTTCCAATGTTATAAGTACATTAAAAATGTTTCCAGACATATTGCTGCGCATCTTTTTAAAATCGATTAGTAAATTCCGCAAAGTTCTCTGATAATAACTTTATAATTTTACATTAAACTAGATATAATATCTTATCGCGTAGTTCTCTAAGTATTCATACCAGTCATCAATTAAAGTCATTTATTAAATTTATGAAATTTCCGAAATCATAATTTTCAGAATTTCCATAAATTTAATAATCGTTTCTATTGAACTTTGATTAGATGAAATGAAGAACAAAATGCTGATCATTTCTTGTTTACGAGAAATAATTTAGATATTGAAACAGATAATAATAATAAAAATTTTAATCTTAGATGTGTAACATAGCATCTACATCTTATTTTGTCTTAAGATCATTTCAAATTAGTGATTTATTAATTTTTTTTAAGCAGAAACGTAATAGATATAAACTGCGCATTCTTTGATCAAAGAGCATATTTATACTTCTTTAGGAAGACAACGCAATATATTGGATCGTATTACTATCTCTCTTCAACTCATACTTTACAGAAAGAGTGAGCGATACAAATCAAATTACTTCACTCTTTCTAAACTGATAATAACAATTTTATAGAAATGAGCAATCTATATTTATTACCTTTATGATTTTAAGTAACATACAATACTTGAAAGAATATATTATTTTTGTGTACTCTTATAAATTCTTTTTTTGCAGACATTTAATGATGCGTCAGTAAACAAAAGTTGGTATACGTCTTAAATTATATGTCTGAATTAATTATAGTATATTCTTAAGAATAATCATCGATCGCATTTTCACCAAAAACTAACGCATTTCTCTCTGAAGATTTACAATTTATACTAATGCTATAATATCAGTTTTTATATAGAGATATGTTTCGCGAGATTTTTTATTATATTCGTTGATATATATTCTCCTCAACGCCATAAATCATCAATATCTTCTTATGCATTTAACTAATTGTTGTCAGTTTCACTTAGATGATATAAATTTAAATTTATATAATGTAAACAAAATGAACTTTAAATAACAATTTTTATATAAATAATTTGGCAGGCAATTGGTCAACTTCATGTATCTTAGGCGTTAAATATGTCTCAATAGCTTTGTATACGAGGTAAAGATTAAAGTGAATATCCATTATTACTTATTTCTCATATCACTTAAATGTCCGCACTTTTACAGCGATATTCCTAATGGAAAATTTGTTCAAGTAAACGAATCCTGCAATTTTTTAAATTCCTCTACATCGATTTTTTTTATGACTCATGGATTTATTGCAAATTTTTCCAATTATAACTTATCTGTTGTTGCTTCTCAATTGTTAAAGGTAAATATTTTTTATTTTCAAGAACAAAATTAAAACGCCGAATTTTTTCAATAATTTCAAAATCTTATATATTGTACAAATATATAAAAATATTGTAAGATTTACAATAAAAGTATTAAATAAAAGAATTCTTTTTCTCTGTAGAAACATTATGCAGTATTTTCATTAGATTGGTCTGATGCAGCGTGTTATAACGACCCAGCCGTCATAAATCTGCTAGAATATCCCTTCGCAGTACATAACACTCGAGAAGTTGGTAATTACTTGGCAAGGTATGACTATTTTGCGATATTATGTCAAATTGAATAAAAAAATATGTAACGAACATCATCAATTTAAATTTATATAATTCTTATTGCGATTTAAATAATAATAATTTTCTAAATATGATAATACAATAATAAAATTAAGTAATACTGATGATTAATGTAATATGTAAAATAAATGTAGCACCTATTGAAATTTAGCTTTATACATTTATATTTTGACAAAAGTAATGACAATCAAGAGATAATTTTAAACTGAATAAAAAACGCAATATTTTTTTATTTATAGCATAAAATTTCTCTTTTAGCTATATCAAATCAATATGCGATACATGCAGCATTTCATTCAAAAACGTGGCACTTATAGGCCATAGTCTTGGTGCACATATAAGTAGCTTTGCCGCAAAAAATCTTCAGACATCGGGTTATGGCAAAGTTTCGCTTCTCATTGGTTCCGATCCTGCGGGTCCTCTTTTCATACTTAGCGGTCCCGAAAATAGATTTTCTGACACAGACGCCGAACGTGTCGTAGCTCTTCACACATCTGCTCTCGGATTACAGAAATCTCTAGGTCATCTCGATTTGTGGTTCAATAACGGATTAAGCCAACCAGCATGTGGTGGTAATTAATATATTTAATATATTTAATTTGAAAATAAATTATTTAATACAGGAAAATGTCGTAAAAACAGTAGAAAATTAACAGAAATTAATTATGAACAAAGTAAAAATTTGTGTTTTACAGACCAGATAATCGGTACTCTGAAAGTCAATTGCTCACATAATATATGCATCATGTATCTTGCTAGTATGTGGTCAGATGATTGTGTATTTATTGGTGTTCCTATACAGTAAGTTTGTTTTTTCTTTTTACATATTTGGTTTTATAAAGAGGAGACATAGTGAATTTCTCATAGATTTTAATTGTTTTCAACATAATAAATCTATACATTTATATAAAATTAAATTGTGTCGTGTCCGAATGTTTTGATACAGCCTTGAGGCCTTTGTAAATAGTATATTTTTTAATAATTTATGAATAAAGAATCCCGCACGTATTATATGAATCTTGATAAAATAAATTAGTTTTCATATATAATATAGTTATAATGTGAAAGAAATCATAAATACAGAACTCAAATGGAAAACTTTTGAGTTATGTTATATTAAAAGTGCTCTGTTCATAAATATAAGTGTTAGACATTTGGCATAAAACTATTTATTATTGATCCTTGTGTTTATGATATCTTTTGTTCGTTACATCATAAGCTAAATTATATGTAAAAATTTATTTCATTGGAATCCAATTTTTCATAATTATTGAAGGGTTTCATATCAAAAAATATTATTTACAAAATTCATTTGATAAAACGCTAGAACATATCATAACTTATTTTTAATATAGATACATAATGTTAAAGGAGATAAAAATCCGTAACAAAAGTACATTGTATTCTCTCCTTCAATCAATAGAATATTTGTGAATTTTCTGGATTAGAAATTATCTTATATTATCAAATTAAAAATAATTGTAAAATATATATTAAATAATAGCCAAAGGCTGCATTATTATAATCAAATGTATATTATTTATTCTTATTCTTTTTCAGCCGTAGAATTGATATTCCTGGGTATGTATAATAAGTAAATCGAACTTTTCTTAAAATTATTTATTTGTATAAATGCTCTTTGGTTGTTTATTTTGCGATTATCATATTATTTATTACAATTGTCGATATTATTGCAGTATGCCTGGTTGTTCTGATAGTACCAACTGCATTATCGTGGACAACAAGATATTCTATAACACTACCATAGTGGGAGATTATTGTGTTTCTGTCACATCAGAATATCCTTTTTGTATAAAGAAAGATGAATTTGCATGTCGAAAAATTACAAACATACTTGACACTTTAATTTCATAGTAATTTCAATAGAGATTAAGTTCTGTAATGTATGTATTGTAATGTATATAGTATATATGCAGTAATTGTCAATCTTATAATAAGTAAAATTAAATTGACTTATATGAGTACCTTTGTCTTGCATAAATTTTTATTGTTAAAATCTTTATTATTGCTGAAAAAAAAATAAAACAATGCAATCTATAAAGTTTAGTAGAAGTCATTAATAGAGAAAAATTTGGACAAAGAAGACTAACACTGTTTTATAATATTTTCATTGTTAAAAAGAAATTAAAATAATGCTATCTATGAATAGATGGAAATTATAATAAAGGATACAAAAAAATTAAAAGAACTTGTACCACACTTTATTGTCCATTATCCCATATTTCTCAATCAATTTACTGAGTCAAATTGTATGTATAATAATCAATTTTACTATTATTGTACTTATACTTTTGTATATATAAGTTCTTAATATTACAATTCGTAATTAATATCGTATTTCAACATTATTTATTAAATGTTTCCTAAATGTTTCTTTCGGTTATGTTATATTTAACTGATGTAGAACGGAGATAGATTAGCACTATTATATGATTGTTCGATTAAACACGTATCTATACTCGTAAATTATTGATCATCCGTTATCGCACGTATTTTCATTACCGTCGTTACTGCACAGAAGTATAGCGTACTTCGTCAATGTTCAAGTATTCCTAATTTTCGGAAAAGCACATAGTAATTAAAACAATATTAATTATGTAAAATGGTAATTATTTAGTATAAGGGGACCCTCCGATGACCTTGATCTTGATGTTGTCAAGCTCATCATCCTCAGTTCATCTTGTTCATCAAGCTCATCTTGAACATATTTTAGTCGTCACTCGTTATTCGTTAAAAAGTTATTAACAAAAAATTTCTTCAATGAAACCTAACTTTTGGACGTACTGCGTTCCGATGAGACAAATTTTTCTCTGCTCCAACAGCGTAAAATATTTTCTTATGTAATTTTTTGTCTTTAGAGACTTTTTTTATTAATAAATTTTTAACGAGCGACGACTAAAATGTGTTCAAGGTCACTCAGGACTATAACCTTGATAACAAACGTCAAGATCAAGATCTTTGGAGAATAGTCCCTTATAAATAATTACCAAAATCTATAAATAATTACTAAATAATTACCAAAATCTTTATTCTGAAGGGAAATTCTAATGGAAAGTCTAATGGAAAATTCAGTAGAAGTAGTGTTGCTGAAAACTGTAATCGCAAAAAATATTTAACATTAAACAAAATTGAATTTTTTGAAAAATCACGAAAAACTTTCTTCAAAAAATATTATTAATTAAATTTAATGTAGAGATAAAAATAAAAGAACTAAAGGAATGAACAGTTAAAAGTGTATATTTTAACTTAAAAAATGTGTCAAAACATTCTTGTACGGGTATATTTTTCAAGTGAAATTATAGGATTGTTCATCGAAAAAATACAATCACTATAGCTTCTTCATACAAATTGAGTGCTACGTAGAGGAAAGTACGTTGAATACTTAAATTTTCCCCTTCCAAATCCAATCCCTCACTTTCCAGTTTCTACAAATGCTTTCTGATTTTTAAATGTTCCGAATATGCCGTACTATTTTATCAAGACAAAGGAAAAATTTTTAAATTTTACTTTTAAACTCAAATTCTTTTGATTTCTAAATATTGTTGATAATTTTTTTTGCAATACAAAATGCGCTCATAACAGCTCGCGGTTCGGGAGTCTGAACATTACAAGATTACTTCTACCTTAACGGTACAATGAAATTCAAGATTTTAATGGTTACTGCTACTTCCCATGCTGCTCATAGCACGGAAAGAATTTTTCAAGTTATTTCAAGATCTATTATAACGAGATTCCAATGTATTAAAAATCGATTAGCAAGTATATCATACAAATCCGCATATATTTGCGTATGTTCTCGAGTATCTCTTACAAGTTTTTATTTAAAAAATGAGTGACAGTAAAAAATAATACTCAGTAGAATAGAATAAACAATAATAAGATTTTATTAAGACTAACATGAAATTAAATACTAAATATAAATACTAAATATAAATACATTCAAGCTTATAATGGTAAAAACTGGATCTTTTTCATGCCCAAATAATTTACAATGAATTATCTATATTCTATATATGTACATACATATATATCTTATTTTTGTAGTTATTCAAACCGCACGCCAAAATTTTTCCGGATTTTATCAAACGCAATTAAACTACTGCAATAATATCACAAGTTAAATTAAATTGACAAGCAAATTCTCAATCTTCCATCCGACATCATATTATAAGAGTGTTAATATGCTGAAAACCTTACATAAATTTATTGCAAAAAATATTACCTCGGCCGGAACTTGAATTCGAATCTCTTGTATTCCGTACGAGCGTCCTAAGCCATTAGATCACCAGACCTTAGTAATATTCTTCACAATTACCAATTTATTTAAGGTTTTCATATCCTTATTCCATTCCATATCAAATCCGAAAAAATTTTGGCGTGAAGTTTGAATAACTACAAAAATATGGTATAAATGCATGTAAATATATAAGATATAGATAATTCATTGTGAATTATTTAGACATTGAGAAGATTTAGCTTTGACCATTATAGACTAAAATAGAATAACTCATTATACATATATATTACAATGAGTTTTTTCTATGCTGTATTAAATATAGATTTCGCAGCTACAATTGTAAAAAATGTATGATAATGATAAATGTAGTCAAGTAAAATTCCTGTTTTTTATTAATTTTAAATATATGGTTTATTTACGCTGTTTTCACTCTAACTTATTTGAAAGTTGAGTTAAAAACTAATTTCTTACTTGGAATTTTGAAATGAAAACCTAAAAAATCCAGAAATTCTCAGAGAATGTTTAAGATTTCAATAAGCACCCATAAAAATTGTTATTATCATATATTAATCCGCAACTAACTCCGTTAATAAACTACATATAAAATTCAATGTAGTCATCAATAAATGTACATTATCATTGCACTATTATTTAAAAAAATAATTGGCTCTCTTATCTTCAATACTTATTGAATGTTTCAAACTATCTCAAAATGCATTTAGTGTGTAGTTCTTTACATATACGAATATATACATAAAACATGAAGGATAGAGTTGGGTGTTTATATTTTTACGACTTTGTTACGTAAATTTTGCAACGTTTCTCCAATAATATGTATATATAGGGTGTTCCATTTTATTGACATATATTGACAATAACATGAAAACGACTAAATTAAAAAAAAAAAGTGTTTAAAAAAGTTATACGACCAGGAGAGAGATAAATACTAGTAAAATCAATTTTCAAAAATTAATGTGAGAAATTGTTTTTACAAAGATTCTTCTAGTTATTTTGCATATAAAAGTATTAAAGTACAGTTATTAAAAATTAATAGTTTTTCCCAGTCAAAATATTTTATATTACATTAAAAAATGTATCAAAAAATTAATATATATTAATAGATATTAAACAGATAATAAATATCTCGTAAATTATTAATTTTTTTTATAACTTAATATTTTTATGTGCTGAATAAATGGAAGAATCACATATAAAAAAAATCACATAATTCTATTTTTTTAAATGGCGATGACTACTTTTATGTGATTTTGAAAAATCGAATATTGCGAAAATTAATTTTATATTATTTGTTTGCTTTTAGATCATGCATTTTTTCTAAACATTTTTTTATAAAGCCGTTTTCATTATTTTGGAGTAAATCAATTAAATAAAACATCCTGTATGTATACGCTATTATATTTTCGATTATTCTACATCGCAAAAATTATATAGTTTATATGTAATTTCGCATGAAATGTTATATTACTGATAATACGACATATATATATATCTCGTCCCTTTCTTGCTTATTTCCTTGTTAACAAAAAAAAGTCGTTGAATAAACTTTTCTTTTCGTTTTGTGAACCAAACTGTATTTTTATTTTACATCAAGACTACATTTTGAAGATAATTCGAAAAAGGTTTTTCTTACCTTTTATTTATTTATTTTTTACTTCTTCGTCTATACAATTGATATTGCATAATTTTTTATACTATTCTATAATTTTTTCGATATAATAGCAGCCCTGAGTGATCATAATGCAGGAAGCATGTTATCCCATTTTTGAAATTGAATATTAGACTTCTTATTCTTCCGATCTTTCCGATTTTCAATGTCATTTATATCCTCTAAATTCTTTAAAATGGAATCTCACTATAAAAATTAAACCAATCTTACGAAAGATGCAATGATTCAATTTTCAATCTTTAAAAGTGAGATTTTACTCTTCAGATAACTCTAAAAGTTTTCGATAGTAAATATACGTTAAAAACACTTAGTAGAAACTTTTCAATTTTTATGATAGTCTTATTGATTAAATAATGTAGAGTAAAATGCTTGTTAATTGTTCGTTTGTGAAAAATAATTTAGACTGCAAAAAAATACTAAACGTTTTAGTCCTAGATTAATTTTAACTAATGTACGAACATTTGAGAATACAATTTGTTTATTTTTACAGACCTTTTTTTGCAGATAACCGATTTTAGTGTGGAGCCTTCAGTGACGGTTAATCTGACTCCTAAATCAATCTGTAAGAAATATTTTTAAGAAATATCGTACATTTTGTGCTGCAATAATGACATAGCTAAAAAAATTTATTTTTTCTGAAAATAAATTCCAATGTTTTAAAATCCAATGTCGTTAAAATTTTGAAATGTTATAACTCAACTGAAATATTATAAATGAAGAAATAATATTATATTCTTTTAAAGTAAATTTCCCTTTTTTTATTAAAAAAAAAGGACAAAAATGTTCAAAAAATTAGAACTTACTGTTTACAATTTAATGCAACTTTCTTTTTCTAGTATAAATGATGATATTCAAGTAGAAATATACATTAAAAATTTTGTTAATTCGTTTCGGCTTAATAGAAGTTCTCTAATTACTTCTACTATTATT